CGTGGTTGTTTAGAATATTTGTATTACCTTAATAGGGTAGATTTTATAATTTTATCATCTTTTTCTGTTTAGTGTGGTCACACTATTGAATTCCTCTTTAGCATTGAGTTTTCTCCTTTAGTTATCAACAAAATGGATTATGTTGACAGATGTGGGGATATTTATTTTGCTTTCACAAAATAAACTTTACCTGGTTCAAGTATATTTTTTCAGACATAGATGAATTCTACAGAATAGTATTGAACATTATAATTTTGCACCTGTTTTTAATTGAAATTTGATTACAGTTTTTAAACCACTCATCCACGTTAGGTATTAAAGTTATCTAGCCTTCATAAAATACATTGAGAAAGCTTTCTATTTTCCCCCTATAATCACAGTGATCTTTTTAGGTACCAGTGATTAATAGACATCCCTGATACAATACCCAAAGAGGGCTCGTGAAAGAGTAATCACTGAGGATGTGTGGCTCTTTGATAGAGCTTTTGTCACAAGGACCTGGATTTGATTCCCAGCACTAGAAAAGAAAAAAAAAAATTCACAAAATGAAACAGTAATTGCTCCTCACCTGGGCTGTATGGCTCTGGGTCAAACCTGACTGCCTAAAGTTCTACTTCCTTCTGATGAAGGAGCATAAGTTTCCTAAAATTCTCTGAAAAGGTACAGCCAATCAGATTTACATGGACATGACTAAACCCTAGTCTGTGCACAGCAGTTTCACTCCCAAGCCACCAACAGCTCCCTCAGCACTCTCGTTAGTGCTATCACCTGATGCTTAAAAGTAAAACTTCTCACTATTCACAAGTGGACAAGAGTGAAAACTAAAGTAAAAACCATCCTCAAGTGTGAATGAAGGTAAGGCTCCAGTGTCCCATTAGAAAACACATTTTACATTATGCTTCTCGTGTGAATGGTTAACAGTAATAAAATTTCCACTTTTGAAACCAGAATAGGAAATAGACTTACCTAACATTTCCATTTAATTTAAAAAGGGAAAAATAATTCAAGCATTGTAATTTTAGGCTAAGTTAAACAACTTTTCTGTAACTTACAAATTCATAGATAGTCAAGAGTAAAAATACTGAGTCAATAGTTCTGTTGGTTCCTAAGAAATAAAACTGTGGCTACATTATAGTCAGGCCTCTTTCTGAAGCAACCAAAAGATCTTGTATCTTTATTTGCTTATTTATTCATGATAAAATATTTGTTTATTTTTAAATGAATTTAAATTTAAAAATAGCTACATTTTTGGGGTGCAATGTGATGTTTTAATATGTTTATGTTATGGAATGATTAAATAAAGCTAATTAGTAAGTCAGCCTCCTCACCCACTTATGAGAATTTTTGGGGATAGAACATTTAAAATCTACGCTTTTACCAATTTTGAAATACACAATGCATGGTTACTTAATGGTAGTCACTACTGGTAGACCAAGAAAGCGTATTCCTCTTCCAAACAGAATCTGATCACGTTAATCAAGATTACCCTTTTCTCTTCAACACCATTTTACTGCCCACATCTATCCATTTGACTTCTTTTAGATTCTGCATACAGACAAGATCATGTGATATTTGTCTTTCTGTGTCTGGTTTAATGTCCTCAAGACTCATCCATATTAACTCAAATTATAGAAGCTCATTCTTTTTATGGGTCAATAGTCTTCCATGGTGTATATAACATGCATTTTCTGCATCCCCTCATCTGTCTAATGGTACTTAGGTTACTTCCATAATGCTGCAACGAAGTCAGGAATGACAGAATCTCTTCAATACACCGATTTCCACTCCTTTGGATATATACTCAGAAATAGGATTATTGGGTAATATAATGGTTCTATTTTAATGTTTTAAAGGAACCACCATACTATTTCCCATATGGCTGTAACAATTTTGCATTCTCACCTAGGTTTATTTTTCTCCGCATCCTCACCTGCATTTGTTATCCTGTGTCTGTTTGATAATAGCCTCTCCAGAAATGTGAACTGATATCCCACTGTGGTTTAAATTTGTATTTCTCTGATGATTATTGGTAATGAGCATTTTTAAATATGTCTGTAATATGTCTTCTTTTGAAAAATGTCTATTTATATCTTTAGCCCATTTTTCAAATTAGGTTGTTTTCTTCTTGTTGAGTTGTTTTGAGTTCCTGATATACTTTGTATATTAGCTCTTTATCAGATAGACTGCATGAAAATATATTTTCTAACCCCAGGTGTGATGCCTTCACTCTACTGATTGTGTCCTTAGTCATACCAAAGCTTTTTTGTAGTTTGATGAAATCCCATTGGTTTATATTTGTTTTTGCTGACTGTGCTGTTGGGGTCATTTCCAAGAAACCTTTTCCTAAGCCAGTATCCTGTAAATTTCTCTATGTTTTCTTCTAGTAGTTTTACAGTGTCATGGCTAAAAGACTTCCTTAAATTCATGATTAAGCTCACTTTCTCATTCCACTGTTAAAGAACCTGTCTTTCTTCATGCACTTTATTGAGGAAAGTGGCCTGTGAATGAATACTCTTTCTTCTGTTGTGAAAGTCAAAAACAAAACCAAAGTCAAGAAAAAACCCTGAACAGATGATATAGAATGAGTACTGCTGAGTGTCTGCAGATTAGGGCAGCGCACATGGAAAGAACAGGAAGAGAAAAATGACAGAGTACAAAGAGCAACATGGGCAGCAATGCACTAGAGGCATAACTTACAGAGAGTGGAACTAAAAGGGACAGAGAGAAATGCACATGTGTAAAAAGGTTAAGTTATAAATCAGTTGCAAGAGATGGTCACCTCCAGTGAGACACTGAGAAGTCACACACACTATGAAATCATAGCTTTTGTTAAACTCATCAGAAAACTCAGGATAAAAGTAAAACGAATGAAATGAAATCTAGAGTTTATAAATACAGCAATCCCACTTCCTCCGGATGCTTATTAAAAAGAATTTAAATCAGGATTACATATCTCAGGGTAGCTGAGATATGGAAACAGTCTAAACATCCATGGGCAAATAAAGAAAATGTGGTAGGTACAGGTGATAGAATATTACTCTTCTTAAAAAGAAGGAAATTCTGCAATGCATGATGATATGGATGAACCATGAAGACATTATGCTGAGTGAAGTAAGCTTGTCACACAAGGACAAACACTTCATGATTCCACTTACATGAGGTACCTAAAGTCCCACTAATAGAATCAGAGCGTAGAACTGTGGTTGCCAAGGGTTGGGGGCAGGGGAAAAGGAGAAGTTATAAGCAATGGACAGAAAGTCTCAATTATGAAAGATGAATAAGTTCTAAAGATCTGCTTATAACATTGTCCCTATGACTAAACCAAATTGTTACAGATTTCGTCAAAGGGATAGATCTCATCTTAAGTACTCTTGTCATCATTAAAAAAGAAACACTAATCATGAATAAAATAAACTAGACATAGAATTAAAATTTTCTGGTCAACCAAATACAACATGAAGGAAGTTATTAGACAAATCAAAGGCTGGAAAAAACTCGTAGCACATATGTTCAACAAAAGTGCTTATATCTACTGCATATGAAAAATGCTTAAAAATCAAAAATGAAAAGCAAACTCTTTTACATAGGCAAAAGACATGTATAAGATAAATGGTCAATAAGTGTACAGAAGCCAGTAAACACAATTAGTCATCAGGAGAATGCAAATCACAAGCACAATAAGATGCTACTTCATGACCTGTAGGACAGCTAAATGAAAAAGACTGTCTTGTGAGGTCACTGTAACTCTCATATAATATGAGTAGCAGCATAGACATATAAGAAGTCTGGAAAATAGTTTGACAGTTTTGAGGAAAGTTAAACATGAATCTGCCCTATGTTCAAACAGTTACATTCCTCAGTATTTACCCAAAAGAAAAAAAAATCCATACAGTATTTGTATACAATGTTTATAGTTCTTTCATTCATCATTGTCAAATGCAGGAAGCAACTTAAATGTCCATCAATCAGAAAATGAATAAACAAATTGTGTCATTTCACCACAACAGAATGTAATTCAGCAACATAAAGGAACGGGCTATTGATTGATACAGCAGTGAATGAACTAAACCACACATTGAGCAAAAGACGGTAGCTACAAAGCACATAGGCTATATGATTTCATTCACATAAATTTCAACAAGCAAAATGAAACCACGGGAAAGTGTTGACTGGGGTTGAGTGGGATAGCAAATGACTACAGAAAGGGACAAGGGAATGTCCTGGGGTGATCAGGCTCTGCATTTTGCCTTGGATGAAGGTTAATGGGCCTAAGCAGTGGTCAAACCCATCAAACTGAACATTTAAGATTGTTAGTTTTACTGTATGTAAATTATGCCTCCACAGAAATCAATTTGCTGTTCATAATGATCTGTCACTTTTGAACAGGTAGACAGGAGGGGATCTTCCTTTGAAGGACAGCCACATTTTAGGGCCCTGAGCTCCTTTTCTATGAAATCTGTAGCTCCATTTGCAAACTATGTCCCAACACGGATAGGAGCATTCCAAAGGCAAAGGCTGAGAGAATGGACAGGTTGAAAGGACTCACAAAAACTTAAAGAAAAGGGAAAAACAAAGCAAAAGTGTGAGCCACAAACTTACACTTTTCACAACACATATGAACAGGTTTTCTTTTCTTTTTTTTTATGCTCCATCATAAAATTTATTTGGGAATTTATGATTAGGTATATATCCTTAATTTAAGTGCTTAAAATTTGGGATATAGATTTTCCTCCTATATTTGAATACTGACTTTTTCCTAAGTAAATTTTATTTATTTATTGTTTTTTTTGGCAGCACTTGGGATTGAACTCGGGACCACATGCTTGCTATGCAAACACTTTGCCACCTTAGCCATGATCTCAATCCTTTTGCTTTTTTAGTTCATTTATGAGACAGGGTCTCACATTTTTGCCTGGGCTAGACTTGAACTGAAATCCTCCTACCTCCACCTGTTGAGTAGCTAGAATTACAGGCAGGCACCACCACTTTCAGGACTGGCCTTGAACTGTGATTGTCTTACCTCTACCTCCCAAATAGCTAGGATTTCAGGTATGCTCCACCATGCTGGCCTTTTTCTCAATCAACTTTTAAGCTCAAATGAAGAATATTTTTAAAGTATCAGTTGAATTTAAAATAGTATACAGTGGCAGTGAAAGTGAAGGAAATCCTATCAACAATGTATGCACCGCACCAGAGCCTAGAGAAAATAAAGCACCTCTGCATGGACTAAAGTTCTCAGAATACCAACTCTTCATCTTTATAATTCCTTTAATGAAGTCTTACGGAGATTAAAGAAGAAATCATCTATAACATATTAAGCATAGAGTCTGATGTATAGTTAGTGATCAACAATCTCAATATCTTTCTGAGATCAATTACCTCAATTATTTTCAGCTTGAAAAATTTGTTTCTTAATAGTTAGAGTTCTTAAATAGTCAATGGTGAAAATCCAGTAAAGTCATATACTACACAGAAAATGGTTTTATTTTCATGGAAATAATATAAAATATAAAAAGTAAGCTGAACAGTTCTGTCTAGGGAATCAAACTAGAACTTAGGTGTATAACACAATGATGCAATAAATTTGCACCCAATCTTGATAAGGTCAATTTTCCTGAGAAGTTCAAACGTGCTGTTAGCAATTGGTAGTAAAAAAGAATGTGTTAGGATATACATACTCACCTGAGAAATGTTCAGTGTCTACTTGATACCACATTTGTCCTATACACTTATTACTTGAGAGTACAGAAAACATTTATTTACCCTCAGAGCAAAAAGAATGAGGTCAGTGTGTACTTTTACAAAAATAGAGCAGAAATTCAAAGTTCAGCCACAGGCAAAAGCAATGTTGTGACATAATCACATGCTTGCAAAGCACCAAGTTGTATGGGGGGTGGTGAGGAAAGAGAACAAATTTTGAAAGTAATAGTCTTTGCCATCCAAGTTTCTCCTTGCTCTGGTATTTTTACTGTAATATGAAAGACTCAGAATCCCAGCTGGACTTCCTAAGGCTGACTATTGTACATAACATTCTGAAAACACTTTTGTCCATGCTTCTGTTCCCAGGAGATTTAAAATGGGCACATAGCTAGTATACTTTCCCAAGACACCAACTTCACTGGTAGAACTTGGGCTTTGCTTTCATAGCCATGAATTTCAATTTCAGGCTTTATAGCGCCTCCCCATCGCCCCCCACAAAACAGCTAGATATTATAGTAGCACACTCTTAAAAAGATAATTTCCACATAATGTAGAAAAGAGTCAAAAATGTCATTTAAATCTTAATGAAGACCCTACTCTCTATGTTGGACCCCACCCCCACCTGGCAAGCATTATCTGATCATCTGTTGTACAGGGAGGTACCACCATGAGTGGGAAAGATGAAGGATGTAGTAGGAGGGAACAACAGTCACTCTGAACCAACAGTTCAATTCTTCTCATTTGCTGTTATGACTGATTGGATTTCTGCTGAAATCACTAAGATAGTCCATCTTAGTTCAAGGTACTTAAAAGAGTACAAGAACAATTAGTTAACAAGGTAACAGCTGCATCAAAGGTACAAAAGGAAGGCCATTATTTCTCTCTAAAAGCATCTAATACTACTCGGTATGGAAGTGAATATGAAGTGGCAAACTAACACATTTATCTTACTACTTAACTCCAAGTTAGCTCAATAGGAAAATCCAACCAACTTAGTCATGTGCCTTAACTAGTTATTATTCAACAATACAGAAGGTCTAAGTGCTCTGGGTTGGTCTAACTGTACCAATCATTTGCTAGACCCAAATAGTTAAACTACTTTTAAATATTTGCAGATAATTCATTAATCTTTCCAAGCATGCAAATATTCACAAATTCATCCCTTATAACTTAAAAGTATTATGATCTTAAAACACTTAGGTTGTTAAGTGGTTATAATTCTAAACTGTACTCTAAAGCACCTGCTTCCTTTCCCCACCCCAAAGAAAAACATAAGAAATGAGAGGAAAAGATGCAGAATAAGGTCTACAAGTGTCCTTGAGGACGACTAGGATATTAACAAACTGTGTTTCTATTTGCACTTCCATCACCGCAGCTAATTGTTAGCTATTTTGAGGAAGAGGTTATGCTTTAATTAACAGGATTTGATAAATGAAAGCTGGTTGCATTTCTTAAGTATACTCAAATTTCAAAAATTTTATTTCACAGCAGGGATTCTAGTTCATCCAATACTTTTATGTAATAACACTTCTGATCAAGGAAAAAGTCTTTAAAAGATTCCAAATAATTGGTTTCCCGAACTCAAATCAACAAAAAGCATAATTAATGAGTAAGAAAATCGTTTATCTCTAGAGCATTAATATACATGCGTATTTTAAGTGAAGGGGACTGAAGAGGAAAGAAACACCTTTGACCTTTGGTAGTAACTGTGGTACAAAAGAGTATAGTTCCTATAATCTACCCTTTCTGTATTCTCTATTCTGTCTGTACTTTGGACTGTTAGAGGAGTGAATGTAATCAAGTGCTTTGCAGAACATAAAATTCCATAGTTTCTGCTTGCTTCTCCTTTCATCCTGATCACCTCTGCTCTTTACTTCTCTGTACAATTGTATCAGCCTGCCTCACCAACTGTTTGAACCAGATTCCCTCCTCCCCAACTTCACTATTTTTCATCTGTTCCCTTCATTTCTCTCTCTCCTCTGACAGAGACTGAAAAAAAAAAAATCCACTGTGGAGGCTGTATGCACAATCTATTGAACCTGGTCCAGATGTTCCCTCAGTGTCCCCTCAATCTACTCCTTTACCTCACATTACCCAACACCCAATCAAGAAGAATAGAAAGAAAAAAAAAAACTCCCAAGAAAATATTTTCAATTTCAGTTTTCACCTTAATTCTCACCTCTTTTTCAGAAAAGTCTGAAACAACAAATGTAGGACCACTTGAGAAAGGCAAAGGTACTAAATATAGAAAAAATTTTGGTTAATCTCCCCTTATTTGAATTTTACTATTTATGAGGAACTATGAGGCTGTAGCCAAAACAATAAGCAGTCATAGCAGCAACTTGCATTTGCTAATTACTCTGTAGCAGCTAGTCTTCTAAACATGCATAATTTCTTTAATCCTTGTCACAACCCCATGAGATAAATAATATAAAAGGGGAAAGAGGCACCAAAAATTAATTATCCCAGAGTCAGAAAGCTGGTAGGTGTAATAAATCCAGACAGTCTAGCTAGAAAAACTTCCTTCTTAATAACTTCTCCAGACTCCCATGACTATTTGTTTTCCATGCATTTAACTGTGAATTTGTGCTACAATTTTAGGGAAACAAACTTTTCTGGGGCTAAGATGAATAGAAAACACTTTGATATACATCTGTTGCCTCTATTAAATTGCCCCACCATTGAACTGAATGTAAGTTCCTTCTGGCTGTGTTGTACAGGAAAGAATCATTGTGGCAAAACTGAAATGCCTAAGTAATGGCAGAGTGAAAAGCTACACATCCCCTGTACGAGGCGCTGTGTTGTTCTTCAGGCCCAGAAACCTCCCTTAGTTTCAACCAGAACCCTCTTGGAACCTACTGCTCCACCTGCCATCAAGAACATCCTTCCTCATGCTGCACTATTGCCATTCAGATTCCCATCCTTCCCCTGCCTGGAAAACACACAAAAGTGCACACTAATGGGAGAAAGTCAAAGGATACCCTCTCCTCTGCATAACCCCAGTAACATTCTTACCTGTCTAGGAATTGTAAGGGTACCCTCAAAGGGACAGTGTCTAATACCTACTCAGAAGTGATTAGCAGCTGGAAGAAAGTTCCAGCCCAAGCAAGAAGACTAAAATATCTAGGGCAAGACATCATTAGGACTTTGCGTGGCCTCAATGTAAAGAAGCCAATTAACCCTTCCCCAACTAGAACGTCCTATTACCTTCTCTGTTGGCTTTGGTGCTAGTAACAACATCAGGACAAAAATAGAGTATACAAAACAAAAAATTCTAAGAGTAGAGCACTTCAGCATCCCCAGGTTTTAGAATAATTACAATAGCTAGAAAGTTTTAAAGTGTTATTTAATGTCTTTGACTTGTTTCCTGCTCATGATATCATCCATTCAGATCAACGCAACAGCAACACAAATGTAAACCAAGAGATCAAGTCAGCCTTCCTAAAAATGAGAAAAATCTGTTCTGCAAGCTTTTGCTCCTCACCAATTGCCAGTTTGGCAATCAGCCAAATGAATTTGAACAACACCCAGCAGACTATAAACACACGACAAGTATAAACACAGTATTAATACCCTCTTTGAAAAACACCAGTTGCATCCAAAGTCCAAGAGTTTGGAAAAGTACAACTCCTTTTCCCAAAGAAATCAAGAAGTGTAAGTACTTACGGTGTCATGAGACTTGTCCTTGACATCATAGACTGTGAGTTTTATTTTGGTCTCCTCATAGATGGGATACTCCGGTGGGAATGTGACACCAGTCAAGAACAGTGGGTCTCTTGTTCCCTGGAACAGTACATGCAGACAACTTGGATTCAGTAAGGCAGCAACTGCAGTTGGCCGGTGGTATGCAGTGACACATGAGAATGCAGAAAGTGTGTCTCAGTCTGTTTTTCTAGGAAATGCTTCTACTCGAAGAGAGATCTGAATTAGCAAATGTTGCCCAGGGGCAACAATAAGGGTTGCGATGGCACTGGGGTGACTGTTGATAGTACGTGGAGTTCAATCGTTGTCAGAACAGCAAATGATGAGTCCTAAAAAGCACTACATTTTTATTCTATGCAGTACCTTTCATTAAGGCCAGTTGTCAGTCCATTTTAAAAGTATCTAATAGTTATAACTTACAATTTATGTAAATAATCTCAGCGACTGGTCAGATTAAAATGAAGTTGTTCTCTCAAACAGCTATTTGGTAATTTTATGATCTCTATTTTTTTTCTTACTATGATTCCTTTGGAAGTGTTTGTTTTAGATGTTATGTTTTTTTTCCCTAGACCATCTCAAAAACTGATGAAAGAAACCCTACATATCACGGACTGGGGGCTACCAAATTACTAGCTCAGGTCGCAACACACAGGGTAGTTCAATGTCTCCGAATACAGTTTTAAAGAGCTGACAGCCAACATTAAATTTATACACATATACATGCACAAACACAGGCGCACGCACTCACACAAGCACACACACAGGCTAACTATCTATGGAAGTTTCTGAAAGCCCATGTTACTCATTCGTTCATTTATTCATTCTTTTATTCAAAATGCAAAGTACTTTTTGCTTGGTCCCATGTCAGATGTCTGGAGACAGACAGTTAATAAAACAGCCCAAAATAGCAACACATATCTAACCACATTAAAGTAATTGGGGAAAAAAGAAAAACTCACAAATACATACATACATACGTAAAATTTTTAAATTAGCAATATTTTTAAAATAACTTAGAAAAGTACTTGAAAATATTTTTCTGAACAATTTTAGTCACACTATCTTTTTTGTATAAGATTATTTGTATTAATTCAGCTATGGTGGTGACTATACAGCACTGGAACCTGAAGTTTCCAAAGGACAGATTCAGAGCTCCATTAAGTATAAAAAAGTGACTCAAGTTCAGCCTGAATCATTTGTTCCACCAACTGCACCAGGGCAAAGGCAGCACTGCACCAGCCGGGTCTGGGGCAGTCTGCTTCAGCTCTGACAGAGAAACTCCTCATCCAAACAGACATTGCTCACAAGTCTAAGAAAAACAAGCAAATCTGAAGGAATTTAGAACACACTTTCTCCAGCCCCAGATGTTCAAATAAGTATCTCTTGTTCACCGAGGTTGTGAAATGTGGGATCAGAACAAAATAATCAAAAAGGAGGCACTTCCCCTTTTGAATCTGATCCAACACAATACCGAGTTTCCTCCTGACACATTCTGAATGCTCTATTAGTAACAATAAATGTAAATAGGAAATCTCTCATCAGATGAGTAATATTTACACCTTTTGCCTGGAAATACCACAGTTCTTCAAGGGAATCAACCTACCTTTCTCTGAAAAACATCATACTTTGAAAGACACACAGCAGAGAAAATTTCAACAATCAGACTGAAGAGTACGGAAGAAAAGGAAAAGAACAAAAACACTTAACATGTTTAGAACTTCCTAAAGTGAATATGCTCATTCCATTTCATTCAAAATCTGTACTTTTTTTTTTCTTTCTTTCTCTTTCAATTCTGTTCTCTATTTGGGAAGCCAAAGTGGAAAGTTTTCTATCTATGCAAGAAAAATAAGGTCTTTCAATGAAAAAGGCAAGTTCTTCCCCCATGTACTTATTATTCTGGGGAGTTGCAAGGAATGCTTAATAACCTCAGGTATGTGTTCTTTAACCACAGGAGAATAACAGGCTACAGATTTTGATCTAACTCATATAGACGGGGTAGTGGTTGGGAGGAGGAGGAGGAGAGGGAGAGGAAGGGAGGGGGAGAGAGAGAGAGAACAGCGTGCTCACCTCCACAATTTCAGTGCTGGAGTATCTTATCAGACTCTGCTCTTCGGGATGGATTACTGAGATCTGCACCACGGTATTCAGTTTCCGATCACGGACAGGAGCCACAAGATCCTTGCATGCTGGCAACGGCAGGGGAGAAAGAAAGAAAAAAAAAGTAACACCATATATCAGGGAAAACTTCTGTCCCGGGTTGAAAGTGAACTTCACTACAGCACAGAAGGAAATCTCCTGGGGCTCTGGCTGGTTTTACAGAGGAAGTCCCTTGGAAGTACCTTACAGAAATAGGAAGTCACGTGCTGCCGAGCTGAATTGAGAGTTCATTTCCACTGACCACATTTGCAGCTCCTGCAAGTTCTTGACTGCTCTGAGCTCTAGCTATAGTGTGACAATGCAATACTGCTTGAGGGCTTCAGGGACTTTCATTAGTTATTACAGCCTGAGCTGTAATTCACACTCTTGGATGAGGTAAATTGATTGAGCCATATCCAGGAAACCAGGCTGGCTGAGTTCATTCAAATCTTTACACACTTGGTCCTTCCCTCCCTATTCACCAGCACTGGCCTCCTATGGTTCTCACCCACAGAAACAGAAGAGTGGCTACCCTACCACAGCAGAGCAAAAGCAGGAGAAGGGAAAGCAGAGGACTGGTTATAAAAGCCCTTTGTCTGGAATTCAAGACCAGCCTGGGAGACAGCAGTAGGATAAGGATAGACTAATTCTTGCCCAGGGGCCACAAATGTTAAGAACTTTCCCTTGAGACAGCAGGCTCAAGTTACAGTCCTAGCTCACTGCCATACCATATTTCCTTGAATATTTTCTCCTCCCACATATCATCTTCCTAATTCTAGGAAGAAAAATACAGCCAAATATTCCTTTATAGCAAGTCTAATACCTATTCTTCTGGCTCTGCTTCTCTTCTGATTTTGAAATAGTAATTTTGCTTCTTCAATTTGGGTTGCTAAAGTATGAGGCTAAATGCCAGAGGTGGCTCAAGTTAGGCTCAGCTGGTAGCTTGCTGAGGAATGGAGCTACTGCTCAGGGAACTGAGTTTTGAATCCCAAACTTCATGGTAAGGGTGTACAGGGTTCTCCATCATCCTTACCCCACCCCTCTGACCCACAGCAGGCAGGCAGAGAAGGACCGGTGTGTCTAAGTTTTGTCACGGGCTACTGTAGTTTGCAGGGCCTTTTCCACTGGGACAAAGGTAATATGGTTTCAATTTGACACTAGAAAGCAAAGGAGCTATAAATGTAATTATCACCTCTCAATGGCTTACACATCATCTCAACTATAAGAGCAGAATAAGATAGAAAAGCAGGAGGTTTGAAATTAAATAGGCCTGGTTTTTCATCCAATTCTAATAGCTAAGCAACGCTAGCAAAATTATCTAACTTCTTAACTTCTTGCCAGATTTTGAGATCCTCTTTCTTCTATCTGGTTCTTTCTTTGTCTTAAACTTTCCTTATTTAAACCACATGCCTCAAGCAATACAGGAGAGCTTGGGAAAGGACATATGGAAAAAATAATAGCCGCAGTTTATTTAACCCTCAGTATTTTTGAGGCATTCTGAACATTATCTCTTTGAATGGCCTTTCAATTCTTATTTTGGTTTTGCTTATTAAGAATTAGAAGTTTATAAACATTAAAAGCTCACATTCACATGGCGAGAATTCTCTGTTAGCTTGCATACATGGAATGCTACTAGCTCTGTTTCCTTGGTGCGCTAACTTGCTCTCTTGCATGAGGTAACTAACCTCCCCTTGGAAGAACCGCAGCTATGATCATTTATTGCTCAACCCAAGAGATCTACACTTTTAAAAACAATTGATGCAAGGTTTCAATAACATCAACATAACACTAAAAGGAAAGCAAAACTTCGGTTTAGATTTTACTGTTCTTTGGTAGCTATTTTGATCATTTCCTTTAGTTGCCCTTTGAAAGTGTTTAATTTTTTCACCTTTGGTTTTCTGTTGTTTCTAATGTTGATGTCTATTAGTTGTTGGATTTTAAAGCTGAGGCCACTGTGTTTACACACAGGCATGTTGACCACTTTCAGGGGGCACTCTCAAATCCTCGTTTTGAGCTCCTGACAACTTTGCTCAAAATAAGTCACTTCTTTTCTGAGTTCTTATCGGGTAAATTTGTGGGCTGTGGTTAGTTCCCAGAAGTGAGCAGCTGTGTCTCCATTTCATCAGAGAAACTCTCAGCCTCACTCCCCTAAGAACAGAGAGAATCTCTATTAAATTGAAATGCTTTGTGCAGATCTTCAGATACCCCAATACCAAACAAGGAAAAAGTAATAACGGCACTTCGTATTTCATTATATTCTATAACTAAAACCAGGCACAGAAAACAACAATAATGATTATATTGGGAGCTTCACTTATCTCTTTTCCTCCTAAGAGCTGACATAGTTTACTAGCTCTATGGCTAAAGCAGTAAGATGTCATGCAGAGACCCTGAGATGTCAGAATCCCAGAGATGCAGCCCGATGCACTCTGTAAATCACACTGAGTAAATCACAAACAAATCTGTAAGCACTGAGTAAATCACAAACTCTTACACTCAGTTGTCTCATCTGACAGTGAAAAGAAGGAAGAAATTAGGTCTTTTATGAATGACATCTATGCAAAAATGTTTACTAACAACAATATACTAACATTTACCAATATTTGGTTATTAGTATGTAAAATATTTTTTATTGACTCAGTCATACTCAAGTGGTTCCTTAAAAGCATTTATCAGATCTAATAATTTCTTTATAAATGCCAAGTCAGTACATTAATGACTGCATTTTTGTAAATGAAACCCATGAATATCATGGATCTATACATACTGGAAATATCTCCCTAGAAAGGTGAATGAACGTTGAGTGAGTGGATTGCCTCATGGGAAGACAACTCCTTTGAATACTAAAACCTAATCTGCCTGGGATTCCTTTCGTATCCAAGAGAGAACCCTGAAAAAATATGTTTTCCAAAGTCAAAACGTGTTATACCTATCTTCCATCTGTTCTTACCACTGTGCATTACCCAAATAAAACTCCACTCCAAGAATGCTATGCATAAATGACCTCCTTCAACTTATAAGACCAAAAGAATGCAGTATTTGGGGATTTTGCTTTGGTTTTGTTTTATTCAAGAATTCTAACTATTTTCATCAAATGGTACTGTGCAATGATTCATTCATCAGCAGATTTTTACTTTTATTTCTGCCTTTTTACTGGATTTATTTTGGATTGTGCTATCTAACACTATTCTCCCGAACCCAGAAGAGTTTAAATGCATACGTTGTTGGTAGGCAGGGATGCCCACTGACTGTTTTTGCTGAAGAGGGGAAAAGTAACAATACAGAAGGAATGTAAAATTAGAGAAAAAACTATAATCTGATCATTTTTTTAGAAAAAAATGAGAACTATGACTGATGATTTTTGTTTTTTCTTGTTAACTTTGCTATAGTACCCAGTAACTTTCTTTTTCTAATGAAGGTGAAATGGTTGACTCTAAGTGTCCCTAGCTCAGAGGCTAGGTAGAAATCACTCTACTAGGAAGAAATTCAGTAGAAGTGTAATGATACAAATAAATAGAGCTGTGATATTTTTGGGGAAGACTAGACCTGGTGCCTTTGGAAAGTCAAAGCTATGTCACATAGGGGACCTGTATATAAATTAATTTCTTGATGAAATGAAGGCCTCCTGTGGTGGGATTCCAGGACTGCCTCAAAGCTTAAAATCCCAGGCATGATGTGGAGAGACACTAGAAGAGTCACACAAATGCATCCTTTATTAGCTTTGGCCTGAGGGCCAGATGTTATCTAGATGATTATAGTATTACTCCAACTCTTAGGAAGATGAAGACTATCTTCTGTTCTGATATTTGAGGCCCAGAAGCTAAAAGGCAGGCATCTTCAGGGTTCTTGTTGTGGTGAAGACTCCATCTTCATCAAATTAGTATTGTTTTTGCTTCTAAATGAAATATCAGATTTTGTTTCATTCAGCTAGCATTTTTGTTGTTGTTGTTTTGTGGTGCTGGGGTTTGAATTCAGGGCCTACACCTCTCAAACTATTGGCCCAGGCTGGCTTTGAACTGCAATCCTCCTGATCTTTGCCTCCTGAGTAGCTAGGATTACAAGGGTGAGCCACTGGCACCCGGGCCAGCTATAATTTCTTAATGATGTCGTCTATCAGGTTCATAAAGCCTTTCTATCATTCTCGCCAATACTGCCTAGAAACCTAACAATGTCCTTAACTCATATCAGTGAGCTCAGTAGCAGCAATAATTGATTTGAGGTAGAACGCAATGATTCCTCACTGTGCCTTTGAAATTGGCAGCACTGGCCATTAGCTGTGAACCTTTCGATGGATGCAGAGTGCCTGAATAAGCACAGGGGCCACGGCTTTTCAGAAAAGCAGCATGAGCCCTGGGCCAGCCCAAGTTCATGGTTGGCCCCGAACAATTGTCTCTCACCCTAAGAATGTTTTTCTTCTGTAAAGTTGGGTTATTTGTCTTGCCACACCCCTATTCATTCCTCTTTTTACTGAATGGCAGCTAGCAAAGTTTATCCTCTTTCCTCCAAAACAAAGCAGCTGAGGAGTGTATTGGGGGAAGTTTCCAGGAGAATTTTCACGTTTACAATTACATACTAAAAGTTAGTCAATGGGGATTTACGCATAGAGGAGACACTACACAGAATAGAGAACAGAGATTGAACTCAGGGTCTCGTGCGTGCTAGGTGAGTGCTCGACAACTGAACCATGTTCCCAGTCCTTTTTACTTCAGTTTATTTTTCAGATAGGATCTTGAATTTTTGCCCAGGACTGGCTATAGACTGTGATTCTCCTACCTCTATCTCCCTAGTATCTAAGATTATAGGTTTATGCTACCACACCTGGCCCAAGAAATGTTTTCTTTGACAAGCTAAAATTGTATTTGATACCTGGACAGGCCTAAGAAGCTATGTGACGTTTTTGTAAATCATTCAATCTCTTTGAGCCTCTGGAGTTAAATGAACAGACTCATGATTTGTTAGATAGACCATATATGGTAACATATAAAAGTACTAGGCATATAAGAGATATTTTAATTTACAATTATTATTGACATTAATATGAACAGTTATG